CCCCAAAACCCCAAAACCCCAAAACCCCAAAACCCCATTAACTCACCAAAAATAGTTCTATACATATTTAGGTCAAAGATGTCATTTTCGTTCTATTAACCCCTTATGCATCCTTACCCCCATCAGAACCCTCTTTTCCCTCTATTTTCCCTTCTTCGCTCTCTTCTGGTCTATTCGTCCTTCCACATTGTCTTCTTGGAGGCCAGGTTCGGCTACCCCAAAAAGACTGATACGACCTTGGAATGGCTGTTTAGATGCAACATTTGTTCGGGAAGAAAAATTGAAGTAGTGAAAGGACCCAGAAGGAGTCGTGGGTGAGCTGACAGGGGTTTTGTTGAATGGATCTGTGATGTAAATTTTGAAGTATTTAGCTCTTTTTGAGTAGAGGTTATAGCGAAATTGACAAGTAGAGGCTATTGAGATACAACTTATGATTTAATGACTTGTAGAGGGTTAATAATAGCATAATTTTACTCCAAATCTTCTTGAATATCTACAGTCAGGTTTTTAGAGTCGATCTTTGTCAGTTCATAGCTTGACTGTTTCACTTTCTGATTCCCAATCTTAAAAATCATGGGGAATCAGAAAGGAATTCTTGGAAAGAGTCTCAACCCTTCCTTGTTTTGTTTACGATATAACTGAGTATTCTACTTTCAGTTGACCAGGACAGCAAAGAGAGGTTAGTACATTTATGCTTAACTGTACTGTCTGTGAGTCAGGTTAAAAATTAATCATTTTCATAAGAATCTAGACATGAATTTTAGAAGCCCAAGAAAGGTTTGCTCATTGCACTAACTTTATGCTCGATCAATACTAAAACTGTACAATAGGGTTGCATTATCATTTGTTTCACTATATCCCAGTGCTCTGTGCTATATTTCATTCAGAGCATTCTCTACAGGACCTCTACTGCTGAATCTAGTAAGGAGTTGTCAATGCCAGAGCTGAGGAACCATGCCTCTTTAGAATCAGAATTATTTTTGGGCGTATTACAATTATCCATACCTTTGGCTCATAAATATTTTCTAATCTGTTAAAATTTTGTTGATAGAAATTCTCCCAATGTTGAGAAGAATGCCAAGTCCAAAAATTGGGCAACTTCTAATGATTCTATTTTAAGAGGAACCCTAAAATCTAGTCGTGCCATAGGGGCTCTGATAATCTTAGCTTCATATAAACCCGATGAATACTCCCTATCTACATCTCTGTTTTTCTAGAAAATTTGACAAACAAGTCTTCAGAACAGAAGAAAATATTAAAATTGACAGTTATAAGATTGGTTAAGGTGTTGATCAGAATGAAATTTTTTTAATGTATATGACAGAAATCTCTTTAGATACCCGAAAGGACCATCTACAGTGCTTGATCTATCCATAATTGCAGTCAAGCCTTTCATAAGTCAACTTCTGTGCATTTTCTGATATTTTGAAACAGTTTCCAAAATCTCCTTTTTTATTCTTAACACCCAATTCATTAACCAGTTACAAGACGGGAATGAAGTTTTTTGTAATAAAAACTGAGTTTTCATTAGAGATAAACATGGCAGAAACTTCTAGAGCAGATTATAACTCTGAAATTGGGTAAATGAAATGACATCTCTACAATAAGGCTGTAAAGTTGAACTATTTATCCTTAAAAGATGATCGACCCTCTTTCTCAGACTTCTTTTCAGTATGGCAGAAATTCTCGAAACTCAGGCTAAGTGACAAAATTTATTAGAAATACTAGTATAAGAGATAGGATTAGCCAGAGCATTACTCTAATTCCTTGATGCTAATTTTTCTAACTCATTATTTTAAGTTAATGTCCTACAGGTCTAAAATTCAACTAATTTTGGTACTTTTATTAAAAATGAAAGCCTGTTAGAAGTCCGACAAATCCAGGATTTAGTAGAATTAGTCATGTTCATGGTAAAGACAGAGATCTTTCTCAGCATTCCCGATCAGCACTATGTTGACTAAAGAAGCTAAGAGGGCTATTATCTTAACTTCTAAATACTTCAGGTCTGCATGAGCTTAATTTAGTCACGAATTGGGAGAGGTACGGTTAAAGAATAGAAAGAGTGAACGGAAAGATGCAATTTGAAGTTTTAATGATTACTAGCAATTTGGATATATGTTTAGGCCTAATTGAGTCTTATCTTAAGCTGACCGATAGAAAAGCAAATGAGGGCTACCTTTTTATAATATTACTAATTTAAAAAATTTTGAATTAGGAACTCATGCAGAATTTGTCCATATTTTCTATTTGTGCACATTTAGGGATGAAAATATTTAGTTAGAGTTTCAGAAATTAGAGACCGTTTGGTCTAAGGTGAACATCAGAAAGAAGTCTTCACAGACATCTCCCAGTATTACAAAGCATCTAACAGAGCTGCTTCATTGCTCAATTCCCATTCTGAGCCTGGTCAAATCGCTCAGAAAGGAAGGTACCTTCATCAAATTCTAGATAATTAGATGTAATGGTTTTAACAACTAAAATTTTTAACCAAGAATTCTCTCGAGCTTTTCCAAGACGCCTTCTTAAGCCCCTGAAGGTTTCCCCCGTCATCAGATTTGAAGAAATAAAGATCATTTTGAGTAGAAATATATTATAGCATTGATTAATAGGGGTTAAGAAGTTTAATTAGGTAGTATTAGGCCTTCTGAACATCAGCCATGGTTACTACAATGCTCTCGTTGATAGGAGCAACGTCCTCCTCAGAGTTATCAGCATCGAAGGAAGATCCTGAGCTGTGAGACAAGTTTGCTGAGTTTTTACGGATCTGAATTGCCTGTTTGAGAAGAGTACTTATGTCATATTCAAGCTTTCCTGTTAACGAGAAACATGATTCAGAGTTATTTTGGCTTTTATTGTAAGCTTTAGTAGTCTTAGAAGACACCTTGGCTCCTTTAGGCTTCAGTAGCTGGCAACTTGAGCTAGGCTTAAGCTTGCTGTCATCTTGACTAATTGCTAACTTTGAAAATTTGGTTTTGAACTTAGTATTAGTCATATTGTTTATGATGTTAGTAGAAGTCTTAATTTTGGCACTAGAAACTTCTTCATCCAAGATTTCTTCAGTGAGGTTCTCCTCACAGTCGTAATTCTGAGTATTTTCCATGTTTATTTAAATTATATTAAGATTAAAGGAAACTTTCCACTTTTATAATACTAGAGGGGTTTTGGGGTTTTGGGGTTTTGGGG